TGTTATTATATCTGTTTGTTTTATACACACCTCACACCCACACTACCCAAACCCACACCCTCAATTCATGCTTATTTTCAACATAAGTCATAAAATTTAGCTTCCTATTTTGTGTTTCACAAAATGCAATGTTTTCTAACTCTCATCTCCGTAGTGGTGAATGTATTTGTAATCACAGTATTTCTTCATGTGACCATAGTAAATATAGTAGATGTGAGTGTGGGATGTGGTTGCCGATAACACTCAAACATTCACATTCATACACTCACAACCATAGTCGCAGAAAGAGACAAGTACTTGCACGGTATAAAGATGAAAAAGACGTAAAAAATGACTTTGAGTAAGACCTTATGGAAAAGGTGAGTCCTCACTTAAAAAGTATGCTAATTTTTTCGAGATATTTTACAAAACTTAGAACACAAAGGCAATCAGTTTTCTACTGTTTAGAAAGTCCTTCTATCTCATTACACAAGGAAAAAGATCATGCTAATTGAAATATGAGTAGACACTATTTCTGACTCTAAGTAATCTAGCAAAGTGAATAAAACTTTGACTGTCTGTCCATAGTAGAACTCAAGAAGCTATCATGAGACTAATCTAGTTTTATATTGGCTTCATTTATATGGACTATTGAAAACTCTTTTACATAGAAATAAACCATTCAAAACAGTTCAATTGAGTTTATAAGAGCTACTCGAAGACATCAATTCTTCTGAAGAGAATTTTCAATAATTCTGTTGATTAAATCAGTCGTATATGATATCTTGATGCATTTCAATGCCTCATTTATATAATTTGAAATAGTAAAATTGATATGCATAGGCAAAAATTTCAAAAAAACTCAATACTCTTTGTAACAGATATTCTGAACAGTAATGCATTGTTTCTTTCGACTTTGGGAAATATTTTTGAACTCAAGTCATGTGAATCAGCTTCAAAAGAGGTTATACTGTAGTATTAGACTGCACATTCAGTATCATAGAGTAAAACATATCTTTTAAACAGTTGTTTCTAACTTTCTGTAATCTTTGGTCCCTAATTAGTGTTACTTAGGTAAAAAGAGACGTTAATGCACATATTTACTGTGATAAACCTTATCTAAAGGCCTGACTATTTCCTAGTACTACGTGCTCTACCGTGTCCTATCCAACAATGAAAATAGCAGATCTCTATCACATTCCTTGCAAAAGTTATAAGCATTCTTCAAAGCGACTTTTTTTCGAAATGGGTAATAGCATGATTCATATATTGAGAAAAGAACAAATAGATTCTTATTTCAGTGTCATCTCCATATTGGTGTTCTTCAATTCGTATTTCTGAAACCAGTACGATTTCCTTTGCTCCATTCCACATAGATTGATTTCTCGATCTTATTATTGATGTTCTTTTCTAGAAAAGATATCGTTGGAAATGTTTGTTGCATTCTAATGAGAAAATCAGACATTATGTAGATGAAGAAAAGGAAGAGGAATCAAGCTGATCTTTAATCACTAATGCAGCTCGTCGACCACTTTGAACAGCACTATGAACACACCCATGCATCCACTTATTTGTATTATCACTAAAATGAGCATGTTCACCAGCCCAATGTACTCGACCATCAGCTGTTGCTCGAGTTAACATTTCTACTGTTTTTTTATTTGCATGTACGGCATAGTTTGAGTAAGAACCAAAGGCAAATGGATCTTGAGACCATCTTGTAAACTTAGTTTTGATAGGATCAGGTATTTGCGATTGAGGAAAGATTTGTCGAAGAAAGATCATTACTTGATCAAGTATTCCAGCATCTGTAAGATATTCCAGTTCATAAGCATAAATACCAGTGATTAGAAGAATAAGAATATTAGCCGGTGAAGGTAGACATACTGTGTAAAGAAAGCGACCCCGTTGTTCAGTGCATGTACGTAATATAATTTTCTTCTTAGCATTCCAGAATTGCTCAGGAAATTGCAGAATGAGTTTATTCATGAGACCGAAACCCATTTGAGCAATAGCTTGACGTTTCCATTCAGGCAAGGGTGGTTCGAATACGATTGTCTCTCGTTTTAAACAACCTAAAGGTACGGTTACAATAATACGTCGACAAAAAATCGGAGAATCGATAGTTGACGTGTAGATCGCGATTCGATCTGAGTTACGCGTATCAATACGTGTTACGAGAGTATTCAAACGAATTGATAACTCGTACTGATCTACGATACGTTCAAGTATGGTTCCGTAGCCGAACGAAACGAATCTCTCATGTATTGTACTCTCATCAATAGTTTCCCATTGTTTGGCAGAGAGAGCAGGAAAACATGATGCTTCATGCACTTCGAAAACAGCAAGAAAGCTATCTATAATGCGCTTAATTTGTCCGCTAGATTCGACTATTCGATCATAGTAATATCTAACGACATCTTCGACACTTCTGTCCTCTTGTTCATCATTTTCAGACGCAAATTTTTCTAAGTGTTGGAATAATTGTGCACATACAACTTTTGCTTGTTGTTCTACTTCAGTTGAAAGACATTGACCATCGTAATCAAGACTAAGTATTTCATCGTCATCGTCGTCGTAACTAGAATTATTCTGTTCATCAACCTTATATTTTTGATAATATGAATACATGGGATTGTTTGGTTCATACTCATGAATCCAACTAGCACCAAGGTCGACGGGAATCGGCGAAAATGTTTCTCGGTCTGTATATACTCGACCACCGATTCGATCTCGCGCCTCAAGTACAACAACGGATAGAGACGTTTTTTTTAGTTCGATCGCTGCTCCAATACCAGCTGCACCGGCTCCAACAATGATGACATCAACATCGACACTCATTTTTTTTTTATTTCAATTAAATGTACGCGTCTGTCTGTGTGCCAATATGCATTTTATCTTATGTGAGGTCTTTTCTTTCTCAGTGTGTTGCTATACAATTAATGATGCGTAATGTTCATAATCGTGTTACTCTTACGTTCATCTATGCATGATTGAACCTTCTACTCATTCTATATAGTCACTTACTCGTATATTATATGTATTGTTCTCACCTATCTATTCTTACACTATGTTCTTACTCTATTGTTCTTCTATATATGTTCTCTCCTTGGCTTCATCACTTGTTCATTCTTACATTATTCTCTCCTTGGCCTCATCTTCTTTCTTTGCGTCATCGCTTATTCTACTCATGTATATAAACGTGTGCTTTATATGTAAACGAGGCGATTGTATGATATGAAGGAATAAACTAAAGTGTAATACCATCAACACTAATAACCCTTCTATCATTAATCGTCACATGACGATAATATGATATGAAGAAATGGAAGATAAAGTGTATCTTCATCTACACTACCTTCTCTTCTATCATTATTTTTCGTCAGTCTGCATGCAGAAAACATACTGATATTATTGATTAGTTCTGTCTTAATCTTAAGTCAATAATGAAAGAAAAAAAACCAGGCTTTTCTAACGGTGTCAAGAATATGAAACAAGAGAACGTGTTGATGATCCATTGGTAGAAAGAAACACAACTATCGCCACTGTAGACAAAGAATTCAGCAGAATCATAATACATGTTTACTACTTATATGAAGAAAATTCCTTGGTTTTTGAAGTTTCATTCATGTTTTACTAGATAGTATCTCCTAATGCACTTACATTGTATTCGACAATAAACAGCCAATACAGAAACAAACTAGTATATGGAAATATGAAGTGTTTGAAAAGTCATTTTAAGAGATGCAAGAATGCTCTGGTAGAGTGTTCAACTCATGGATATCGCTCTGTCGTTAATATCGATTACAGTGACTCACATAACTGAGTACTAGGTTGTCAGTTTCATACTCTAACAATCATTTGTATTGGATGATCTTTAATTTTTACTAGTTTTTGTAAAGTGTACATCGTTGTCGATGTAACGTCAACTTCACTTTGAAAAATTTGACGTTCTTTGGTTGATGAAGACGATTCCAATGGATGATTTCGACTACATCACGTTTGAGATTGATCATTTAGAATTAGTCTTCAAGAGAGCATATTCAAATAGCATATCGGTCTTCTCTTCTATGTATTTGGGTATGAACCATAGTTCCTAGTTATTCAACATTTCATTTTAGACAAGCCTGGCATATTCTCGTCTGTCTTTAACGCACTTAACGAAACATCTTTGAATTGTCTGCTCTGTCTGGAGATCATTTGTAACTTACGTTTTTTTTTATTATATATTTTTCAAATTAACCCAAAGAATTGATATCCAGAACAAAAACTAGTACAAGTCAAAAACAGGAAATACGGAATACCATTGAGCTCAGAGGTATATTTGACTAAGTCAAGTAACTAAAAGTTATCTCAGGTTTATGATGAAGATCATACCTATAAGAATGCTAAAGTGTCTTTAGTCATACAACCGATTGAGAATTCAACACTAGATGGTATTATGAATACACGATTTTGAATAAACAGACATTCTTCATTCTAATTTTTACTCACATCCTAAAGTAGGAAGTGCATTTTTTCTCCTTGCTTTAAAGTCAACGAAGGACGAAATTTGACTCGTGTCCTACCAAAGAAACAGTAATCGTCACGTAAGTTTATTTTTCATGATGCTTTTTTCTTATAAGTCTTTTTTTTATTCTACACATGGCCAACACAAGAGACCAAGGATAAATGCACAACATGTATGTAGTCACAGAGTTTCTCATTCAGTTATTGATGCCATCTGATAAATAATACTAAAAATATAGTCTCTGCCTTAATAGTCAATATTTCGATGGAGAAACAAGATACTTTCTGCAACAATGAATAAAAAAGATGTTCCAATTCGAATTTATCTTCTTTTTCAGCAATTGCGTCTTGAGCTCTTTTGTGGTATGATTATGCCACAACTATTGATCCTACTTGATTGTTTCCTAGAAGTAGTACCCAATGTCGAATATTTCTATCTTATCTTGACTGGTCAAGACGAGTACCTTAAATTACTTGATTTTGAATGAATAATCAAGACTATGTATATGCGATTGCTTCGTCTTCCAAGAACTGAATTTGACATAAAAAACCTTTTCAACTTCGATTCAATGTTTTCAAAACTGAGCCTTATTTTTTTCTCAATACTCGAAATGCTAAATCTCAATAAACAGTGAACAGTTCTTTTTTATCTGTTTCTCTCTTGGAATGAAATTCAAGAATTTTATCTATTATATTAGTTCCTCCGTCATTTTCATATATTTGGTAGAACAAAAAGCTTATCATGTGCATTATGCATCAAATGAATCCAGCGAAATGGAATGTGCATTTTTCTATTTCAAAGGACTATATGTAATTATATATTTAAGTATCACAAATTCAGCACCGGAACCAAGTACATTCTGAGCTGATCTTGGAAAGTTATATTTTAACAAATAAAATTGGTCTTTAGAATTGATTTCTGTTTCTTCAGTAGCAATTGAGCAATACTTATTTGAAATATATTACAATATAACGAGATTGCTAACAAAATAAACGCTGAAAATTCCAAAACAAGAAAGCAAAACTTATATATGAAAATGGTGAGAACTTTTCATTCTGTTCAATGCGTATATTCTTTATAACACTTCATCATCATCGTGACTATCAATTATATCTTCAAAATAATGATGATGTGAGTGTAGTTGTACGTGCGCGTGATGAGTTGGTCCACACATAAATCCAGCCACGCCGATGGTCATTCTGAGTTCCACTAACTCGAAGCTATCAAATATGTTATTATCACAAAAATGGACTTTATTCACATTTCAACAATGAAAGATAGAAAAAGATAATTTAAGAGTTATGTGATGTTGATATACATTTTATCAATGTCCAAGAAACTACGAAATGTAATATCTTGGTTAAGAACATGTTGCAAAATCGAGTTCTGTTCAAGGTATTCATAACTTGTTAATATCTATATAATGCTTAAAATTGATTAATAAATGAATGAACGTTCCTCCTTCAATATTTTTGTCATTAAAAGCTAGATTTCACTATAATTTATTAAAGTATTATACAAATGGAAGTTTCATGATACAAAAAAAAAAGAGCACATGATTAAGTCATAAGATCATCGAAAAGATTAAAAAATTTTCCTCCTATATTTTGTTTAAGTTGCTCAACTCTATCAAGGAAATAAGATAAATAATTTCGTATCAAGCAACATTTACTTTGATTGTTACTTCATTTACACTTTGCTTCCTAACAATCAGTCTCTTTGAAATAAATATGATAGCTAGCCATTATAAGAGTGTGGTTGTAGGAATGAATCATAACAGATGCTTTTCATACCACACACAGATCCAGCTTTTTCGTATTTTCCGATTTTGAAAATGAAAATTTCGATCTTTAATTTCTTTTTATCTTTCAATTCTACTCCCCTCACACCGCGAAAAGTTTGAAGAATGCATATAAAAGAAGACTCAGAGTATTTTATTTTACAAAGAAATATATTACATGAGAAATGTTATTTAAACGTAGTACTAGCATATTAATAGTATTAGTTATTGAAAATGAATCAATGAAGTTTTCTTCGATATTCGTAAGTAAAATGAAAAAGTCTTTAGTGTCACTATTCTTTATAATGCGAAAAATTTCTTTTTAAAATCAAAATATTGTAGTTTCAGATTAAAAGTAAGTGACATCAGGTATTGGCTTTCGATATTTTCTAATAGTTATATACCAAATTTGAACCAAATGACACGACATAAATACAACCAATATTAAAACAATAATCCCAGCCTAAGAAAAAAAATAGCAAGAAGAAGATCGAATCAGTATAATTGACAAATTTCTCACTTTCCAAGATTGAGATACATCAGTTGTTAATTGAACTAATCCATATTGAATACAAGTGATCGCTCCTGCTGATGTCCACATAATGCCAGTCAATCTACCAATATATTCCGATGGAAAACTAATCATAACAGAAAAGAAAAAAATATTGTTAAATTTTATCGAATATAATTAAAAATTTTCTCTAATAAACTCACAAAGTACCAACAACTGCTTGTGAACCAGCTACAATAGCTGATCGTCCAATATAGTTAAAAACTAATGCAGGAACAACAACAGTAGTCTTGACAAACATACAAATAATACATAGTATTATATTTAAAATCCATGAACATGTTTGAGCAATTGAAGTATTCAATATTTTTTGTTTTGAACCTAAATATAAATTTAATAACATTTATTCATAAATTTTTAATACATACTTTTATCTGCTCGAAATGTAAGAAGAAAACCAACAAGTGGACAAAGAAAAATTTGAGATAATGATGTCATATTGAATGCAAATGTATATTGATCACCTACAATCAAATTTATTTTAATTAGACATTTTTTTTTTTTGTATTTTGTTTTTGATAATAGTATTTAAAAGGTCGCAATATTATAACGATTTAGTAAGTATGTTACTTCACTAAATCGGTAAAAATAAGTCTTAAGATAATTCGATATGTAGAATTATATTCTTATGTTTTAAACAGCATGAATATTATGACATTGTTTAAAAGAGAAACGACAGGATGTTGTTGTTTTGAGCTGTCTAGAGTAATCCTCTCGTTTTTTTTATTTTCACATTCATCAAGCTTAACATGATAAAATTTTTAGGTCAAGTCAATCGACCTGTTTCTAGATAAATCAATTTTGACTATTTTTCAATTATATATAAACGAAAAATAATCTAAAAGAAACATCCTTAGCATCTAACAATATTTTATTGTATCTTGACATATTCAAGTTCATCGATGTAAAAAAACTTGAACGATCATTTTGTCTTACGAAAGATCAAGCGCATTGAATGAAAGTATATAACTGCTTAGAATTTTCATTTACTTTTTGTTTTATCATTATGATTAATGTAATAAACCCATGGATACCAAGTAACCGATAAAAGAATACTCGGCATTAATAGAAAACTTAAATAAAGGACGACAAAAATATACAATGGATTTGTTATATGTTCCCAAATTCCAATACGTTGACGAATTTTTCCATACCATTTCGTTTCAATCTTCGTGTCTAATTCACAAAATCAAAGCAAAAGAATAAATATAAATTCAATTTAAATTTATCAATATTTTTCTTTATTTTACTCTCGATTGTAACAGTTTTAGTTTGTTCTAATTTTGTATCAAATGTATATCCAAGATTTAATATTTGAAATTTCCAATCGAGAAATTCAAATGATGAAAAAAGCATGAATATTCCAAATGACATCCAGATATAAGATAATTGTGATAATGTTAATTTACCATTATCAATTAAAATCTAGACAAAATATATTCTTATTAAAATTAGATTTGAATGAAAGATTTACTTGAAAAACTGAATACCACATTGATGCTGACAAACTCGAACCAACAAGTAAAGTTAATAAAAATGCTCGTCCTTCGGCAAAATAATTACATGCTGAAAAACTTGTTAGTTGTACAATAATACCGGATAGTGCTGTAAATAATGTATGAATAAATAATAGTGAATCTCGATCTAAAATTATCAAAAATATAAAAGAAATTAGTAAGACGAGAGATTTTTTTTTTTTTTGGAGATACTTATCAGACTTAACAAGTGCCAATGCTAACCATCCTACAACATGAAATACTCTAAAAACGTAAAAAAAACAAAAGACTATTATTTGAAAATCCAAATATCTATGGAAATTTACATTCCAATTAATTTTACAAAACGACCGCCAAATTTATCAATTAATATACCAACAATTATTGATGGTAAATTAAAAAAAATAATACCCAACGTCAATGCATTCTGAAAATAACTATAACAATAAAGAGAATTTCAAATATTTCAAATTAATTTACTTGATATTGTTGTGATTGACGACTACAATCTTGTTCAGTTGAATTAGTTAGATTTGATGATTGACAATAATTACTGTATACACCATAATTTGGTAATATTTTGAAAAGTGCAGGAAATCCAAAAATATTTGCACTGATAAGATTCACTTCAATAAAAAGCCAAATAAAACCGATCCATTTTCGCCTTGAATTGATGCTTGATTTCATCTATAAAATCAAAATATTGTTTTCAATAGACAATTTTCAATGCTTCAAAGAACTATTCTCATGATCATATGTATTCCTCTACTATAATTTATCTAATTTTCTTAAAGAAACTATTTTAATCGACAATAAATTCAATGAGAAGTATATATATTATTTTAAGAAATTAATTCTAGTATTTTCATTTCGATCAACTTATTCATTAAGAAATATAATTTTTAAAACTTACGTTTTTCTATATAACAGTAGAAAGCAAGAAAAATGACCACAAAATCGTTCGTTGATTTATTGGATGTACGATTTATTTTTGAAACGATAAAATTCTTGATTTAAGTAATAATGAATAAATCTAGAATATTATAATTTAGCATTTAATATTAATGAAAGAGAAAAATTAGGTCAACAATAATACAATAAAATAGTAATTATATATATATGAAACACTTCGTTAATAAAAACAAATGTTTTACTTGATAAGAATAATCAAAGCGTAACTAACTGTTTTTTTTCTCTTCATACATCAATACTCTATTTATCAAAGACTGAATTTACATATACCACATGAACTGATATTTTCAATTTATCACATGCATAGTAACTTTTTAAGGATGATTCAAAGGAGAATTGTACATCATATTCAAATAGAGTTTTCACTTAGACAAGTGGGGAAAAAAAATATAAATTCATTATGGAGACATTGAAATTAAAAAACCTATTTTTAGGAGTTTTAGTTGCCTGACTTCAGTTGACAGTGTGCTTGAAGTTTTCATCTCTACATCACATAGAATATGTTAGTTTTGAAAAATTTTGATTATTATCAAATCGACATTCTGAGAAAAGATTTAAATGATCGAATATATTGAAATATACTGTCGTTTTTTCTTCTTATTTTAATTTTTTAAGGTTTGTTAGTGGTACCCAAAAGCAGTGGTGGAGGTACCTTATTTTCGTGTAGAAGATTTGAGAAAATTTTCTTTTTTTGTTTTATGAGACGATAGAGAAAACGAAGCTCTATTTTTCTTTGTTATTTCATCCTTATTCAACTCGTCCTATAGTAATAAAATTTTGACAAGAACTATTTTTATACAAAATATAATTATAATATTGAATGACATTTTCATTGATGTGCATTTGTCATTTTGATTATTTCTTTGTTCTTTCTATTATCTCCTCTTCTACTGCATAATTGTTGATAGTTGGATATCTATTTATACACATTAAGAATCGCTTCGTTTATTTCGTGAATCCATATAACGTTTATCTGTGTTTTTTTTTAAATACGTTAATACAATATAATAGAGTTAATCGTGTATAATCATTGCATGATGCTGTAATCACATTCATATATTCTTTCAATAAAGAAGAATGCAGAAAAAACATTCGATAGACAGACTCAACGAATGTAATTATGTGTGAGAAATTAATGAGAATATTTTGAATATTTGACGAAATAAAAATTTGTTGAACATGTTTTAGATTTCTTTTTTTTCCACTCTATCACTATAACCTGTTATAGACTACATGCACCATATTTATGAAAAGTAGGAATTAGAAGTGATCGAAAATAGAATGAAGAAAGAATAAAGAAACAATCAAAAAGAAAATGTACATGAATAAAAATATGAGTCAATGTTACAGCTATATTTTACACAAAAAATAGTTCTTGTCGAAACTTGATTATTATGATACCAGTTGAATAAAGATGAAGTAGCACAGAAAAATAGAGCTTCGTTTTCTCTATTACCTCATAAAAAAAGAAAATTTCCTCAAATCTTCTATACCAAAATAAGGTACCTCTGACATTACTTTTGAATGCCCCTAAGTAGAATACTAGAGGGCCCCCTGTGAAGAGTTAAACTTTAAGATTATAGAAAAAAGTGATACAATAACAAATTTGGATTATTATTTGATTTATTAAGTATTAAAAAAAAATTACTGATATTATAAAGTCACAAAAATAAACATATGAAATTCATGAAAAAATTACCTAATAAACAACATCATCTGTTACAGTTTATCCAATATCTGTTTTGCCCTGTTTAGTTGTGTCTTTTACTTGAATTTTTAAACAATTAAATTCCGTTGCTCTTCAACATTCTGTATAAAACTGACTGTGTGAAAAGCAGGGTTCTGGAAGATATAGGTCAATTTTATCAAAAGTTTGACCTTGAGACTTATTTACTGTCATTACATATGCAAGACGAACTAGAAACTGGTGTCTAACGACATTGAATAAAAGTGCTGAATCATTCGATGTATCCAGAGAAATTCTAGGAATAAAATGAATAGTTCCGAAAAATAAATCAGTAATAATTTCCAATTGAAGCACGCTTTGACGAAAGGCTCTAATAGTCATTCTATTTAATTCTATTTTCTGTTTCTCTTAACCTATGTAATGTAAGTATCAAACTTATAATTATCTCACCTTAAATGCATTTGAGCGCCATTCTATTATATTGGAACATAAGTTCTGCACGTTTTTTTTTGTTTTTTTAGGCAAATTTGAGTCTTTATATCTCGTGATTGAACAGAGTTAGAGGTCTGACATTTTTAATGTAGATAGATCTTTATGAGTACTAACTAAATTAAATTTTCAGACCTCTAACTCTTTCCAATCACGAAATATAAGGCCACAAACTTGCCTAAAAAAATTAAAAAAAACCGTGCAGAACTTATGTTCCAATCTAATATCATCACTAACCTTACTCGCTCATTTTCTTTTATCTTGTTTTTATCATCTGATATATATTTGCTGCTAAGAGAAATATTTTATCTACATAATTATACTCGAATTGAGAGTGTACTTTTAGAAAACTTAGCTAAAAAGATTTGAATTTTTCCTAGAGCTAAAACTAGTCAATATTATTTAGTTTCACGTACTATTTTTATATATTTCATTTCGTTTGTAGAGGTATTTCACTCATCAGATAGAGTTATTTCTGTTGCTTTCCATGGCTCATAAACATCGGATGAAATTGAGTGCACAACAAAAGACTTCTCTTTCACTGTTTTCATGCCTGTCAGTTTTCTAATTCTATAATAATCTTATCAAAAGACTGTTTCAATTGATAACCTGAATTTTCTTTTTTTGTAAGATGATAAGTCTTTCTGAACAAAATGAACTGCTTTAACATATATGCGTTGTTCTTTGACGAAAAAAAAAAAGATATTGTAAATTGTACAATCGGTTTCATCAAATGTTTATAAGCTGTTTTGAAGGGTACAGATAACTATAATGGACGAATCAGAATATTATTCTATGCGGCTTGAAATGAAGCACTTTGATGAAAACATAAATGCAGTATGACCTAGTCTGCCAAGAAATGTTGAATATACAACGAGAACTAAAATGCTTATCTTTTACTTTGGATGTAATCATTGATAACTGGGTTAAAAACCTGCAAGGACCGTATTTGAGAATAGGAGTGTGAAGTGATTGTTATTTTCAAAAGAACTATTTTTTTGCAACTTTACGAAATACGAATGTAATCTAATGTATTATGTGCCAATAGAAAGGGCACAAAATTCTGAGTCGTAACAGATAGTTACATAGAAGTCATATGTCAACATGAATATGCGACTTTATACTAGGACCAAATATTTTCAATCAACTTTTATGCAGAATTTCGAAAAATATTTTTGACTTTTGTGTAAAATATGTATGTTTTTTAAGTAATTATTAGTGATTGATTTGAGTTTCAGAAACCATAAGTATTGTTTAAGTCAGTTTGAAACTCCAAAAAAATAAAGTCCGTGTTTATGAAATGGTCAAAATGGATCATTTTTGAATCGCAACACATCTTAATAGCTATTTTACCATTATTCGCTAAAAAACGATGCATTTTAATGACCATGTTCCCATTATTCACTTGGCAGGGAACTTCATGATTATATTAGATCAACAACTTACAATTATAAACATAATCTATTAAATCATCATGATTGATAACTATGAAAATTTTATTAAAACTCTTGAAAACTGTTTACTAAATAAAACTTCATTAATAACTAAAGTAGGATTAAAATTAAATGCTTTTGCTAATCAATAGTTGAATGTAATTTTTTAAAATTATGCTTTATTTTCTTCTGGAAAATTGTTTAGACATGCAAGAAAGCATCGAATTTATAGAATATGACTGATGCGTTATTGAATAAATGAAATACTTACCAAAAGTTAGACAAATGCATTGATTAAGTCATTTTGTTGTTCGACACGATTAAGAAGTTCTAATTTTTCATGACAAATTTTTTTGTTTCTAAAACGTTAATGTAATGATTTCATCCATTTTTAAGTCTTATTACAATTGCTAATATTGTTATTGCAGTTGTATTACGTCGTACTTCATATGATTGACGAATATCTGAAGATTCTAGCAAACAATAGTCTAATTCAAGTTTTTTCAAAAGAAATTTATCAAAAGCATCATTTTCGTTGGTGTTGTTCCCGTAGTTCAACAATTACAGAAGTCGAATTAATATTAGATACAAAACGACATGCAAATGCACAAGCTACACGTATGCTTTTAGCTGTTACATTATCATTAATTATACTTAATATTCCTAATACAATATATTTTGTTTCTCTTAATATTTATGATACACGTAAATTAATAGGTGACCATTCATGTTTAGATACTAGTGATCGTGATATAGTATTATATAAACTTGGATTTTATCCAGGCATTATACAAGATATATTGTCGGATTTACCTCATGTAGTTAATTTTTTCTTATATTGTTTAGCTGGAAAACATTTTCGAAGTATATTTATAAATGAATTTCATTTAATTGAACAAAAACAAAGACGTCTTACAAATGGCGCATCTATCTTAAATTCTGATTCAATACCAAGTTCAGGCTATAATCACAATCTAGGACGTGTATCATCAAAAATTTCTCCATTAAAAGTATGAAAAAGTGTTGAAGTTTTATATAATGATAAAAGATACTCTAACAATACTTAATCGTCAAAATGAAACTTCATTGAAAAAAAAACAATAAAATTGTGAGAACGTTGTCTAATTTTTATATGTTGTAATTATATTTTTCGTCTTGATTGTTTATTAAAGTTTAATAAATCTGTAACATGATCGGAATTTACTATTAATCTTATCAAATCATTTTGTCATAAAAAAAAACACAAAATAGATTTCTATTCTATACTTATGTAGGTAAATGAGTAATACAGATTTTATGTTTATGATTTTTTTTTAATAGACGTTACTAACTACGATTATATATAATTTTGTTGATAATATATGATAAAATGATTGCAATAAGAGTGCTTACAAATGTATTTGAACAATTTTTATTTTCATATAAAGAAAATAGGGCTAAGTCATTGAAAATTTGTTTTTTAAAAGCATTTTCGAAAATTTTGATTGATAAATTCTTTTTTCTAGAATATTCAAAAGTCATCATATTTACTTTTCAAAGGTTCTAAGGATAATAACAATAAAATGGATTCAATTCTTGTTTATATTGATCAGATTACAGTTATTCTATTTGTTCTCTTAGTAATATTTTTCTTCATTGTTAAATGTATGAAAATGTTTGATTTTGAAACAATATCAACATAAAAAGAACAGTATAGTTGAAACAGAAAACTTTGTTTTTCAAGAAATTCATTTATTTTCATGTTTTTTTCAGAACAACTGCAACCACGACAGTATTGATCTACGTCGTTGAGAAATAGACAAAAATTCTTATCGTCAATTTCGTCTTCATCATTATTGATCGATTATCATACAAACAAATCATTCGAAAAACTTTCACGTTTACCTAATAATTAAATGCTTCAATTTCGAAAACAACATCTATTATCTCTTTTAAACGTGTAAAAAATAATTTTTTTCCACAAAAAACTTCTATAGTTTTATGACTATGCATAGAATAATAGAAAAAAAAGGGTATAAATTTGACTAAAGTAATCATAATTTTTATTTGTTATTTTGTAGCCTTACAAAAGGAGCATATTCTCTAGTGATATAACCCGAAAAAAGTTGTATAAGAGGACTAAATATTCTGAGTGTATCTTTAGAGATAGTGACAACTCTTTGATAACGCCACTAAAGGAGACTAAAGAGTCTTTATAGGCGAAATTTGACAGTTTCTAGGGCATACTATACACAACATCCTATTGATTGAAATGTAACAATTATAAAACCATTAGAAATTCGAGTTTTTTTTGCTGTAAGGTCACAAGTGCTGTATACATCACTTGCCATGCTTGTCGACCTACATTAAGAGATTATTATGAACTTATAACCACTTCAGCAATTAGAAATTTTTATGTTAATCGTTTGAATATTTCTGAAGGGTGTGGGGTGTGGGTGCGAATGTGAGTGTTGATTTCCTCTTATTCCACATTCGCACCCTACATCCACACCCACACACATCCAATACTCACACCCCACACCCACACCCACACCCACCCTTCCTATGATTAAACGTTCTTTTAGCAGCGAAAGGTGTTGGCAGGTACTGAGAGTGCCATTCGAGTGGTTCCTATTGTCTGGAAATGTGTAAAAGAAAAGTAAATTGTAGTGTTATTATGTGGTTGGTTAATCAAGAGTATAGTTGTGTCATTCTAAATTTTGTGTGATTTTTCTGATTTCTCTTGTTATGTGTTGAAACTAGGAACTATATATCTTGTGATGAAAAACTTGTTGTTGACGTTCTTTATAAAAATAAGCAGAAAATTTTAAAGAAATATCAAAAACGATGTACCTCGATTCGACTTTAATGGAACATACTGATGACTCGTCTTGACTCAAATCGAATCGAGAAATGGCTTGACTCGTCCAGCTCTGTGTGTACTGCATTGCAATCAGAGATCCATGTGCATAGAACTCAAGGACTCGATTTAACTTTTGGATTCTTTGTGAAAGGTTTTGCAACACTTCTCTCTTCTCGATTTTTGATGAAATTATATTGTTTTTTATCACACGGCGTACAAAATAAAATCAAGACAAAAAAAAGAATCAATTGAATTATTTGTTAAATTAAACAGTTCAGAAAAAATAACCCGAATATGATGAACGACGCATGTAGAAAGATTCTAGAAGATGCAGAGTGCCGTGTTGTTGTTGGAGTGAATGATTGTCCGTCACACAGTTCCAATGAACCGCAACACACTGTTGCAGTCACGTCGCTTTCTGTTGAGGATTTACAAGCATTTTCGATAACAAGACATACACCGAAATCACCCATGCCTCGAGTATATATTTCATTGCCATCAGAAGAAGCTCTCATAGCCTAACAAAGTAAAAGTTTATATCGCTTAACTTGTTGCCAGTGTAACTTACAATACACCACTCCTTTGTAGCTGCTGCTTGGATGCTGACTTCAGACACGGCATATCTTATTCTTAACAACAAGATTTCAAGTCGACCATGGGTCATGTAGAGAAAAGACCTCGTGAGCTTAATGAATTATGCCGCACCCTTTGGATTAAATAATTCAACATAAGCCGCTGTAGCAATGCTGATGCATTCATAACAATTATAACCTTGCAACAGATTCACGCCCATTAGGAGAATGAATGCAACGAGTTCTATTCGTTCAAAGCAGACTCGTGAGGGAGAATAAGTGCAAGCAAAAAAATAAGAGTCATCAGTGAGAAGTTGATGAAGATATGTGTTTTACGTACTGTTAGTTTGAATATTTTATCTCCGCTTGCGTGAAGAGCGTTATCTTTTTAAGTGGAAACAAAAACTAACGACCTGCAATTGACTTCGTAAAGACCAACAAAGAGTGATTCATACAAAACTACGAGTGTAAGAATGGATGGATGTGGATGTGGGTGTCGATGGGGGGTTTAGATGAATAGAAAAGATACACTCACACCGACACCCACACCCTCAAAATGTATACTCTATATACTTCAACACTCCTTTTTGATTGAGTTTCGCAAAACAGGTAATTGTGCGTATTTAAAAAAAGAGAAGAAGAGTGCAAGTGATGTATATTATTATTTTTATCTTTATTGCGATACATATAAAAAACAAAGACTAACTGTTGATAAATCATCAACACGATATACGCTTCATTTAGATTACTTAAAAGAAGTAAAAATTTAAAAAAAGAAAGGTAGGCTAGTACAAATTTTGAAAAATAAATCATTTACTATAAGAATCGATATAATCAGAATGACATTTGGTATTCGTAATATCGTTGGAATTCATCGTCTTCATACAGGTAAAAAAAATTATTTAACTCCTTTGTTATTCAAAACCTATGGACAATGGTCTTATTGGCAACAAAAAGCCTTTGATTATCTTATTTGGTGTCATTTAGCTCATGCACTTGACTTTAGTGCTGCACTTTTATGTTGGTTTTGGATATTTCCAATAACATTTTCTGAAGCAAATGAATGGCATATTAAATGGGTGTCACGAGTTTTTCTTTACAATATAGCTTTGGAATTTATTCTTTATTCATTTTGGCATTGGATGACTCATGCACGTATGAGTCCATATCCTCGAGGACCATTGCATGAAAGAAAATTTAATCCAATCAATCCATATGAAGAAAAAAGTCAACATCATTTATTAAGAGAAATAACATTTACAACATTTGGTTGGTTACAATCAACTTTTGTACAATGTGTTTTTATGTGGTTATGGGCTAGTGGTCGATTACCTTATTATAATGATTTTTGGTCTCGACCATATTTTTCAATATTTATTCTTTTGAGTATTACTTTTTGGAGAGAATTTCATTTCTATTGGGTAAGTTAAATAATTTATTTTCAATTATAAATCTATATTGATTTTTTATAGATTCATCGCTTTATGCATCCATGGTGGTCTGTTCAAAATGGATTACGTCAAGGCGATATTGGTGCATTTCTTTATCGTCATGTTCATAGTCTTCATCATCAAAGTCGTAATCCTGGTCCATGGTCTGGATTATCTATGCATCCAATCGAACATTTTATTTATTATACATGTGCTTATTTTCCTCTTCTTTTTTCATGCCATCCACTTCATTTTCTTTATGCAAAATTCCATGCAGATATTGCACCAATTGGTGGTCATGATGGCCATGATGCTCCAGCTGGTGGTTCGGCCTATCATTATTTACATCATTCATTGTTCGAATGTAACTATGGAACGCCATTAGTTAATTTTGATCGTCTATTTGGTACTTACAAAGAAGTCGTCAAGAAACCATCAATAAACAACAAACAAACAAATTAAATATTGTACACTATAACTCACTCTGACATACACAAAAGAATGTTTTTAATGCGGTGCGAAGCACAGCATTTATGTAGTCCGTCGCGAGTTTACTTTTTTTTTTAATGCCCTGCGAAGCAGGAGCATTTATGTAGTCGTGCGCGAGTTTTTTTTTTTTTTCTTTTACTTTCTCGACGTACGCACAAAATGTCGTCATTTTGTGACGCCATGATCTCAAGAACAGAAAGTCGGAAAACTTTCGTTGAAACGACAAGTGAAAGTATCGACACTGAACATGGAACATCTTTTTTCAAATCATGTTTGCGACGTTCGGTGCTCTCACAAATCGAGTTCCAAAAACACGATTTTGACAAAATTTTGCATTGAGATAATTAAAACGAAAACTGAAAGAGAAGTTAGGCGCCATTTTTTTTTCTCTTTGAATATAAGACAGCTGCGATACAGCTGATTATAGATAATGAATCATTGAGATAATTAATCCATCAATAGAAAACAACTTATAGAACTCTATCGATACGTTTTCACAGAGTTTCTCTAGGGATGAATTTTATAATGGACGGTTTTCATTTCGAATTCAGATAAGATCAGGTGCTTGATAAAGATGACAAAACAGGCCCATCTTACGTAGTCAGCAGCTAATTCAAATAAAAACAGCGATTAGTATAGTTCAGAAAATTGAATTCTCGTTTTCCAAAAAGTATCGTTTTCGA